AACAACCATTCACACACACACACCTAAGGAGAATTTAGATAAGCCAATTAACCCAATTTTTGGATTGTGGGAGGAAGCCAGGGTACCCAGAGAGAACCCACGCATGCTCAGGGAGAACATGCAAACTCCATGCAACCTTCTTGCTGCAAGACAGCAGTGCTACACACTGTTCCAATGAGAAGCCCCCTTAAAAAATTGTATATGTTCTTTATTGTAATACAAAAGTATAAAAGAACATGAACAAATCTGTACAAACGTGACAAACACGAACAGTCTTTTGTGTTGTTTGTTCACATAAACAGGATGGAAAGCGCAGGAACTTTGCAGAGAAGAAATTGCCTTACTATTGCCGTCTGAGTTGATTTCTATAAAGCTTGAGGGTGTGAAAGTGAAGAGGTTTCATTTACTGGTTACTACAGTAGTGAATTTATTGCAGACTGTTTAAAACGATTCTCTGCTGTTTTCCTAGTGTGTTCTGGAGTGTGTGGTTAGAGTTATCCGTGATGGATCACCGTTTTTTTCAGCATCTTTGTCCTCAGCACCATCTTTTAAGTGACCCGCCTCTAGCCAATTATGGAGACTTTCCTATCAGCTTTCAGTCTGCTGTTCTTGCTGAGTCCAAGGCTATTCCCAACGGAAAAAAAACAGTAGTGAAAAGCACTCTGGCGGCAACAAAATGTTTAATGTCTTAGACTTAGACAGTGTATACAAAACGAAATTTCATTCAGTACAGCTCTCAAGACATTTTAATTTCTCAAAGTGCAGCAGTGATAAAATGTAAGTATGGTAACTTGCTGCAGATGTTAAAGAATAGGAAATGTCCTTAGGAATTAAAGTTTGCTCATCCCCATCTCATATACAGCTTTGGTGTCCTATATCTCTCTTGCTCTCTATAGAGCAAGGAACATGGAGTTCTTCACCTCTACTACACCCTGTTCCTGGCTTTACAAAAGCTGTGCAGCAGTCTTTATTTCTATTGCAGGCGACTCCTTGCAGCCTTGTCTACAAAGTCTTTTTCATCACTGCTCTATTGTCTTCCTCCTTACAGACATTTTGTGCACATTATTTAAACACAGAATAGGTTCCTTGTTCTGCTCCTTTTGCACTAACACCTCAGACAGACCACAGCCCAACTGTGCACACTGTGACCTTTCAGTAGAAAAAACCCTGGAGATTTCCACAGTGTTTCCCCTCACTTTCCAACTACAGCAGATAGATGAATCCATCAACATTATCCAAGGTGGTCTGATAACAAACATTTTTCCTTTTGTACATTTACAATCCTAGCTTAAATGTGGACTCGTTACTATTTTTACTATCTGTGTTGATGCAGTTCTGCCTGTAACAAAGTGCTAAAGAAATGACGTCAGGAGCATGCTGGTCACTGGTTGACTAGGTAGTTGAGTTACCAGTTAAGCATACCTTTTAGACGATGTAAATGCATTTAAATTATTGTGTATATAATGACAACAGGAAACTAGCATCAAATAACATTAGCTTTATGCATCCTCTTGCTTCTGTGCTTCAGCTGGATACCAGACCATTGTATCCCTCTCTCTTGTTCTTACCCAACTGCCCCATCTTGCCAACTTCAGCCTTCTCTGCCTCTCTAGTATACAATTGGCTAAAGCTATAAACTGGGCAGAAGGTCTTTAATCATTGCCTTGGGCACATTTCGCTATAACAACACTGCCTAAATGGAAACCCATCCCTAGAGAGGAGTTAAGCCCACCACCCTCTGTGGCGTCTTTATCAAGTTATGTGAGGGAAACAGGTCATTCCAGACCTGGCCTGTAGTTACAGTTAGTCAGAGAAGGAAGAAAGTAAGCAAGGTTTGAAGGAAATGATGCAGAAAGGAAGTAGTAGAGGTTGGTGGAGGAGTAATTGTTGTGGCAAGTACATATAACCAATTTTACGATTAGCTTTTATCTCAGCTTTTTACCTTGAAAATGTACCAGGCTATAGAAGAGCTCTACAATGAAAAGAAGCAAATGTTCTCTGTTATTGAGCATGATTAGATTAATTTCTGAACAGTACTATAGTAATTGCAGAAGGTGATTTTACGTCCAGTGCTTACTCCACTGTTTCTTATTACCTAGCAGTCTATGTGATAAGTAACTGCAGATAGATCTCAGTCCATTTTAAACATAATCCTGCTATTATTTACATCAGATTGTCAAAGTGGGGTGGAGGAATGGTTGAGGACCCAAGTGAGTGACCCAAGAGATGAGGAGGCGGAGATTTGTTTTGCTGATTAATTGAAAAAGGCAACAGAAACAAAATCCAAGAACCAACATACAGGAAACCAAAAACCAAGAGACATCAGGGGAAGGCACACATGGGGAGCCAAGTAACTGAAGAGGAGGAGTATTTATGGGGGACAGAACAAAGAAGGGGCTAATCAGCTGAAATGGGGCTGGTGTGGATAGAAGTAACTAGAAGGGAACTAGGGGAAAGGAGAGAGGCACAAGGGGCAACAGAAAGTAACTAATAAAATGCAACACAGCTTAAATATAACACAGAATGGACAATAAACCAATGACCAACAAAACGGAATTACATAAATTGCTGGAATATATATATAAAAAAAAAAACTAAAAAAGAAGTCCAAAAGGGGAAAGACCATAACACCGATTCAGATTTCTCTGTGGTCCTCAAAAACTTTCATTACATTTTAAATTCCTTCTCATACAGTACAGCCTCCTCAGGCATCTTACCTACACAAGGTTCTTTTTTCACAATCTGTGAAGCAATTGCTACACTGCAACGAGCAATTTTAATGCAAACACAATCATTATTTTCATCAGCAGCAAAAGAGAAGCAGATAAATGCATCTTGTGTGTAAAGTGCAGCTTAGTGCAATATGCCATTATGGTCAATGATTTTAACCTTTGCTGGCAGTCAGTGTAGATACTTCAGTCTCAGGGCATCTTGCACACAAAAATCCATTTCGTTTTGTATTATTCATAGATTTTGAGCTTGTCACAGAAAGGCTTTACCCTCTAGAAAATGAATGTGTGGAAATCTTTTTGTCACTAGGTCAGATTAGCCAGTCCTCCTTAACCACCGTCCAAAACTTCATTTGACCTTTTCAGACACATTTTATTGTTTCCTGTGTGTATTAAATGTAACTTTGTTTAATGTAGGCATCATGCAGTTTTTTTGTTTTTAAATACAATTTAATTATTAAAAAAACATTATAAATCCAGTGAAACACTTCCTGGCTGCACCCTTTTCTACACCTGTTCCTCCTCCCTCATCCCTGCTACATGCAATGTGAGGGCCTTTCCCTTGACAGGTATCACATTAGTATGACAGTATCCTGAACAACTTCACTTGGCATCCCAGCAAGATGGAGCAAATAGGCAATTTAGGGTAGTACTCCCTGGTCCTCAGATCAAAGTCCTATTCCTCTGGGACTGAAGCACCTACCAGTTATGTACAAAGACCCTGTGTGTTGTATGGCATTTAAAGGTGTTAAAAGCATGGAAAGTTTTTCTTGTGCATTCTCATAGCAGTCTGGTAACTCTCATCCTCCATCATATAATGTAGGACGCAATGTTGTCTTGATGTATCCCAGCAGACCTCCTTAGGACCCTTGAGAACTAACCACAGTGTGGCTGATTTTTAAATTAGTAAGGTAGTTTTAATTTGCTATAGTCCAACTGATGATGTTTATATATGTAGAACCTTAAAACCATCCGAATGCTAGTGCAGTATTTTAAAGTTTAATAAAGGTCTTTCTACATATTTGCATAATTGTTGATATTGCAGGGAAATAAAGGTGAATTGTCTAGTTAAGGACTAAACTAGGATGGATTCACATGGTTTCCCTCCTCAATGGTTGGATATTAGGTTCCAACAGAACAGTGATCCAGTTCAAACAGGAAACTGGCTTTGGAATGAACAAGTTGCTCACAAATACTTCAAACCTACTAAAGAATGCAAGGTTTAAACTAAAGGGAAACAAAAGGTTTAACCCCTTGAACCCTATGGACCCACCGGCGGGTCCAGCTGCTACATGACCTCGTAATTTTACCAAACCCCCAGAATTGATGTAAAAAACATATTTGGCACAGTTTGGTGACATTTATGGATAAATGTGCCAAACTGGCCTCTCCGCCTAAGAAATTTCTCACTAAAATATCTGATTCATCTGATTGAGTCCAAATTTGGTATATTTTTACACAACATTTAGATTTGAAAGTCTGTACTACTTTTTTGTGCTATAAATAATATTTTGGTAGTGTTTTGCAATGTTTATTTCAAAGAAAATTTTGGGGAGGTTCAAAAAATGCAAAATATTTAGTATTTTGTCCCTAATATTTCAGGCAGGGTCAAAGCTACAATGGTGCTGACACCAGAAAACCATTCTATGACATCTTACCTTTACAGACGTACCAAAAGTTTCTTCTTAAATCTAATAGCTTTGAGGCTATAAGTTATTTACTTTTGTGTGTTTTTGTCAGGCAGAAATTTATTTATACCCCCTTAGGGTGTAAGAGGTTAAATGAACTTTACAAATTCTATTGAAAATATTTAGCAAATGTCCATCCATCCGTCCATCCATCCATCCTTTTTAGATGCATCCCAGCAAGAACTTAATCTTTTTAAGTATCGTTTTTTAAGAACTGTCAGTGGTCAAATTACTATAAGTGCTGTTTGAATTAAATACCTTTAACATGAATCATTCTTTCTTTATATCCATAGTTAACATTTACATTTCTAATTAAACTCTTAGAAAACACCCAATGAGAAATTTGGAAAACTCTGTTTTGACATGACAACTATCTAGAAATACCAAGTTTTAGAAAACCCACAATAGGTTTTATGTTGACTGTTTAAGAATAAGCAGAGTTGAATTTTGGATAGTACTGGTTTCAAATGAGTTGTTATTAGATAAAATGTATTGCCCACATTCATGTGTCTGGCGTTAATATAAACAAATATGTTAGCCTGCTGAAATGTTGCCATGGTGATGACCCTTAACTCTGCACCACATGGTTTGAGAGAGTGAGCATTCTGGCCATCCTGCTGAACTGTGTGACTCTGGGGATGTTTCAGCCTTGCGGCCACACCCCGAGCTTTCTGCAGGTAAAATACACCAACCTAAACAGCAGCCCACACATTAACATGCATTGAAATGAGAAACATATTATAAACATATTATAAAGCCCTGACTTTTATTCCTCTAATCATTTTACACTAATCCTCTATGTGCATGTGTTTATTTGTTTGTGTGTTTAGACCCTGGACGACGGTATCTTTGCTTTTTTTGCTGGGGAAATGGTGGTAAAGATGGTTGCTCTCGGGGTCATAGGTCAGAAAGGTTATCTAGGTGACACATGGAACAGATTGGACTTCTTCATTGTTATTGTGGGGTAAGTGCCTTCCAGACACAGACACACACACACACATTCATCTGACATTAACTGTGAGCCAAAAGTGTGTACGTATGTGCTTTGTGTATAGCTTAGACACTTGTTTAATGCCAGTTAAATGTCAAGCGTGTGTTCGTGTGAGCTGAGACGTACATGTTTGGGGATGTATGAGTGTGCGTGTGATAGCTTCATAGAATGACAATGTCATTACTCCGTCCTCAGAGGGAAACAGACCTCAGCGACTTGTACTTAAAAGGCTTGTATCCCAAAGAATGCATTCCCTATAGACTCCTAGAGTTTGCCAAGGTCAGACTGATCCAGATGCCAGTAACATTGGTGGCTTATCCCATCCGCTGCAGAATGCTGGAGTACTCACTGGACGGACACAATGTCAGCCTATCAGCTATCAGGACTGTTCGGGTTCTCCGCCCTCTACGAGCTATCAACAGAGTTCCCAGTAAGTTTGTTTCCTCCTTGTTTCTCTGGCATGTGGATTATTAACAATGCTTTGTTCAGTATAATTATTCCCTTTTCTGTTAAAGGGAAACAGTTTCTCTCTAGTCAACATTAACATGACCTTGGCCTTTTTTTAAAGGTTACAAATCATGATTTCTGTGCTTTTCCTTTTCCTTCATAAATACTTTCTGTTCAACTTTCAAGGTCCAAACTAAGCAAAGCAATTCTCTACTTAGAGTACCTTGTTTGTAACCAAAGTTTTTCTTTTGTATTTGAAGAAGATGTGCTGGAGAAAAAAGAGATAGGAAAATGTTTTCTGAAGGCCATTTTCACTAGTTGAAAGGAATTGAAAGGCCTTTAAAGTAGCTGCAATAAGCCACCCCCCTCAGTCACAGCATCTTTCACATGGGTGATAACCAAAGGTAGAAAATGGTCCTGGGAGTTTTTTTTTTGAAAAAAAGAGTTTACAAGAAAAGTAAAAAAATGCTAAATTGAAAAATATATAATTGAGGCTTGTCTTCACTTTATCCACAGATAAGAAAAATTGTGATAAGGAGATTTAAGGAGGCTCTTTTTGCTTCATTGGTTTCAACATTAAATCTGTTATGTGTTCAAGCTATTGTTGCCTGGAACAGGTATTGTTCTAAATTAACGTTTACTATCTAAAGCTACCTGTTTTTAGACTTATCGCAGGCAGATTTGTTGTATAAAAGTAGCTCTGGCTCTTCATATCTGTATTAAGAAATAGTTTAAGCCAAAGAACCTTTCCTAAATGAAGAATGCAATTACTCCTCTCATCAAGCAGTACTGTAACTTTTAGCCACTAGGGGGGGTAGGCCTATAACTCCCATTTTTTGCCTTAGAAACAACTAACTGGTGACACTGCACTGTCAAAAAATTGAAGTCAACTACTTTGTCTTGGAATCTAATAGGAGATCACTTTTGCCTAGCAGACGTAGAAGTCATAGAGTTACTTTTAAAGACAATTGTAATTGTTACTTGTAAAGACATAGTCCCATTATATGCCTACAAAAAAAAGAAAAAGGCCAAAAACTATTTGATCATCATAGAATAAAATTATACATATCAACCATCCACCCTGATAGTGCCTCAGCTCGGCATGGTTGAAGACCAACCAGTTTTAATCCAATAAACTGATCTACAGAAAATCTAAGTTCCCATTAATCCTCACCAGAGCCTCCTATCAGAACATACAGTGGGTACGGAAAGTATTGAGACCCATTTAGATTGATCACTCTTTGTTTCATTGCAGGAATTTGCTAAAATCAAAAAAGTTATTTTTATGTCTCATTGATATACACTCAGCACCCCATTTTGACAGAAAAAAAATGAAATTTTGAATTTTTTGCAAATTTATAAAAAAAAAAGAAAAACAGAAAAATGAAAAATTGTAATAAAATTTCAGACCCTTTTCTGTGACACTCATAGGCTACGTTCACACTGCAGGCCTTGAAGCTCAATTCTGATTTTTTTGTGAAATCTGATTTTTTTGTGTTGCCATTCACATTTCCAATTATATGCAACTCCCGCGTGAACTGCAGTCACACAATGCAAGTGTCCCGCATGCGCAGTAGAGGACGCAATGACGTCACAGGCCAGCTTGCTCCTTTTTTCCAGAAGTAAACATGGATGGTAGTGCCGGCGCGCATCTAGCGGTCTTTTCCAACCATAAAAACACAATCTTTTCAATATGTACAGGTGCTGGTCATAAAATTAGAATATCATGAAAAAGTAGATTGATTTCAGTAATTCCATTTAAAAAGTGAAACTTGTATATTATATTCATACATTACATACAAACTCATATATTTCAGATGTTTATTTGGTTTAATTTTGATGATTACAAATGACAACAAATAAAAATCTCAAATTCATCATATCAGAAAATTAGAATATTACTGAAGACCAATAAAAACAAAGGATTTATAGAAATGTTGGCCAACTGAAAAGTATGAACATGAAAAGTATGAGCATGTACAGCACTCAGTATTTAGTTGGGCCTCCTTTGGCCTGTATTACTGCAGCAATGCGGCGTGGCATGGAGTCGATCAGTCTGTGGCACTGCTCAGGTGTTATGATAGCCCAGGTTGCTCTAATAGTGGCTTTTAGCTCTTCTGAATTGTTGGGTCTGGTGTATTGCATCTTCTTCTTCACAATACCCCATAGATTTTCTATGGGGTTAAGGTCAGGAGAGTTTGCTGGCCAATTAAGAACAGGGATACCATGGTCCTTCAACCAGGTACTGGTAGCTTTGGCACTGTGTGCAGGTGCCAAGTCCTGTTGGAAAATGAAATCTGCATCTCCAAAAAGTTGGTCAGCTGCAGGAAGCATGAAGTGCTCTAAAACTTCCTGGTATGTGGCTGCGTTGACCCTGGACCTCAGAAAACACAATGGACCAACACCAGCAGATGACATGGCACCCCAAACCATCACTGACTGTGGAAACTTTACACTGGACTTCAAGCAACGTGGATGAAGTGCCTCTCTTCTTTTCCTCCAGACTCTGGGACCTTGATTTCCAAAGGAAATGCAAAATTTACTTTCATCAGAGAACATGACTTTGGACCACTCACCAGCAGTCCAGTCCTGTTTCTCTTTAGCCCAGGCAAGACGCTTCTGACGCTGTCTGTGGTTCAAGAGTGGCTTGACACAAGGAATGCGACAGCAGAAACCCATGTCTTTCATACGTCTGTGTGTGGTGGTTCTTGAAGCACTCACTCCAGCTGCAGTCCACTCTTTGTGAATCTCCCCCACATTTTTGAATGGGTTTTGTTTCACAATCCTCTCCAGGGTGCGGTTATCTCTCTTGCTTGTACACTTTTTTCGACCGCATCTTTTCCTTCCCTTCGCCTCTCTATTAATGTGCTTGGACACTGAGCTCTGTGAACAGCCAGCCTCTTTAGCGATGACCTTTTGTGTCTTGCCCTCCTTGTGCAAGGTGTCGATGGTCGTCTTTTGGACAACTGTCAAGTCAGCAGTCTTCCCCATGATTGTGTAGCCTATAGAACTAGACTGAAAGACCATTTAAAGGCTTTTGCAGGTGGTTTGAGTTAATTAGCTGATTAGAGTGTGGCACCAGGGGCCATCAATTTTGAACCTTTTCACAATATTCTAATTTTCTGATATGATGAATTTGAGATTTTCATTTGTTGTCATTTGTAATCATCAAAATTAAACCAAATAAACATCTGAAATATATGAGTTTGTATGTAATGTATGAATATAATATACAAGTTTCACTTTTTAAATGGAATTACTGAAATCAATCTACTTTTTCATGATATTCTAATTTTATGACCAGCACCTGTATAAACATAAATACTGCTCTCTGCATCATCATCTGCCATGGTTGTTGTTTTTCTTGCTGCTTCTGCGTAGCAAGACACAGAATAGTGACCTTTGTCGGGTATTAATGACGTTCAGGTCGGATGAATCCAACCTGGCCATTTAGACACAGGACACATTTGAAAAGATCAGATTCGTATTGGATTCAGGACCACATAGCCAAGTGGCCTGGGTCGCATTGGAAAAAATCGGATCTGTGTTGTTCAGACAGCCATGAAAAGATCAGATCCAGGGCGCATATGGGCAAAAAAAAATCGGATTTGGGTCACTTCAGGCTGCGGTGTGAACGTAGCCATATTTAACTCACATCCTGTCAATTTCTTCAGATCCTCCTTGAGTTCTGCCCCTTCATTGGAGTTCAGCTGTGTTTATTTAAACTGATTGGACTTGATTAGCAAAGGCACACTCCTGCCTATATAAGACCTTACAGCTCACAGTGCATGTCAGAGCAAACGAGAATCATGAGGTTGAAGGAACTGCCCAAGGAGCTCAGAAACAGAATTGAAGCACAGATCTGGCCAAGGTTACAAAAGAATTTCTGAAGCTCTCAAGATTCCTAAAAGCACATTGGTCTCCATTATCCTTAAATGGAAGAAGTTTGGGACGAGCAGAACTCTTCCTAGACCTAGCAGTCCAGCCAAACCAACACATTTTGGGAGAGGAGCCTTGGTGAGAGAGGTAAAGAAGAATCCAAAGATCGATGTGACTGAGCTTCAGAGATGCATTATGGAGATGGGAGAAAGTTTCTCAACTAACCCTAACCCGACTGGTGGAGACCAGTCGGGCCTTTATGGTAGTGTGGGCCGACGGAACCCTCTCCTCAGTTCAAGAAATATGACAGCCCACATAGAGTTTGCCAAAAAAACAAACAAACATTTGAAGCACTCCCAGACTATGAGAAAGAAGATTCTCTGGTCTGATGAGACCAAGATTGAATTTGCCGTTAATTCTAAGTGGCATGTGTGGAGAAAACCAGGCACTGCGCATCACCTGCCCTATTCTATTCTAACATTCAAACATAGTGGTGGCAGCATCATACTATGGGGATGTTTTTGAGCTGCAGGTACAGGACAACTGGTTGCAATTGAAGAAAAGATGAACTGTTTGTCTTCATTATTTTCAAATTTCTCTTGGAAGTGCTACTTTGGTTAGCACTCCCTTCTTTGTTTTTCCCTCTGTGCACATGCTCAGTATAGTACCTCTATTGGTATCTTAAATATACACAAACTACTTTTTTTTACTAACAAACTAAGCAAAAACAAACTACCAAGAACAGTTTTTGGCTGGACAAGTTATTGAACTGATTGCAGTCCGTGTTTAACTGGCTGAAGACCCAACTGAAGGCAACAAGCCCAGAAAAAAGAAAGGAAAGTAGATGGCGGCAGAATATGCTTGGCAGGAAAACAGTAGCAGAGATACCAACAGTCTGCTTCTGATGTCTTTACGTTGCAGACTCTTGAAAGACACTGAGTAAAAAAATTGTGAATTAGAGCTTGGTAGCCAGACCTAAGTTCATAAAAACATTCAGGTGTTGTTACCAGACCATGCAAGGAACTACCTGCTGCTTCTCCACTGCTGATCTGAGGTAAAATCGCCCTTTACTGAAAGTCAGCCAAGGAAAAAAATGCATCAAACGTCCTTGCAATACGTGACTATGCTGTAAAAAATACTTAATTTCTTTAACCGGAAACAGAAGAGATGTATCTGTTAGCAACTGCTGCCCTCGTTGTGATGGATGCATGGGCAAATAAATCAAAGCACTGTGAGCAAAGTCAGTTAAATAATTGTGATGCTTGTGTCGTTCTCTGCAGGCCAGTTCATAAACGTTCCAAACCAACTTAATTTTTTTCTTTACTGCACCCATTGACCTTCGCACAGCTCAGTCACATATCTTGTAAAATGTGAGAGTGTGTAAACTCAAAGGGCCAAAGAAGTATTTTGTTCGACAAGTAGGACAGTGGATTAATAATTATTAGTGTTTTGGGTTCTACTGAACTTGAAAAGATCTATGCTTGTGTTTTGCATGAAGTTATCAAGGTTTCAACAATATAACCTGGCTTTATGCAGAGGTATTAACATTATGATTGGAAAGATAACATTTCTTATATTGTTTACATTTACCCATTTTCTAGAGATAATTGATAACATTCTGGTTTGGATTTTATTCTAATAAGAAAGCTTATTCTTTAATAGAGGAAAATGGAGTGGCATTCTGTACCTTTATGTAGACTATAGTACCCAGCTGACTGACAGGGAAACAGGTGGGGAAGGGGTAGTAACCTTACGCTATTTTCAATCTAAATGAAGAGGCTTTGCAGGAACCAGTTTGAAATCAATTTGATGTGTTTTGTTATCTAAATCTTGTGTCCTGGTTTTGATGTTTTGTGTCTTTTTCAGGTATGCGCATCCTGGTGACCCTCCTCCTGGACACGCTTCCAATGTTGGGCAATGTGTTGGCGCTCTGCTTCTTTGTTTTCTTCATCTTTGGCATCGTGGGTGTTCAGCTGTGGGCGGGGCTACTGAGGAACCGCTGTTTCATGGGAGACGATTTCAGAATGTGAGTTTGTAGAAAAGCCAGGCACAAGTAACACCAATCAATGTGCTTTCTCGTTACATTCAATTCTTTGTCAGCAAATTGCAGGAAAGGCTCTTCCACCATGCTATTATTTCAGAGTTGATACCACTGACAGTTTGATCCTGTTTGTGTTCTAATCAGTTCTGCCTGGCCAGTAAATCTATAGATGTTTTCTACTTTTAAAGCAGTGTAAAGCAGTAGGAAGGCTAAATCAGGCTAATGGGGGTAAAACTGTATCTGTTTCTGTTTAGTCAGAGTTTGAGTCTCAGTTGCTGTTCATAATGTGAATTACGCTTTCATTGTTCGTCCTTCAGCCTACGTTTAATAACTGTCTGACTGATTTCTTTACGCCATTACTCTCAATGGTGGGACCACTCTTGAGTTCACATAGCATCAGTTCAGCATCATTTTTGCATTTGAATTCCCTGCTCCTCATCTGACGAGACCTATAAAATCCCTCACGGAGCTGTTTTGCTGGAATTCTGCTGTCTCTGCACCTCAAGAACAACTTTATGTCACAAATTGACTCTAAGAAATATAACAAATAGTGAGGCCATGCAGTACATTTCACATATTTTGACTCTAAAAGGAGACAAAACAGCCATTCAATTTGGGGAATCAGTGGCAGTTCCTAACTGCTTCTATTAACTAACTGTTAAGAGGTTTTTTTGGTAGAACAAGTTTATTTTTGAAGCCCATTCTTACATAATCTTAATTTCATTGGATTGTCACAATGCAAGGGGAGTGTTTATCAACATAAATCCTATGATGTATTATTTTTATTGTCACCACTTTTTACCCTGAATTATCTTTGCATTAAACCTATCCAGGCACTTTGTGCTCTTTTGGGGTTTAGGAGTACAGGTGCTGGTCATAAAATTAGAATATCATGAAAAAGTAGATTGATTTCAGTAATTCCATTTAAAAAGTGAAACTTGTATATTATATTCATACATTACATACAAACTCATATATTTCAGATGTTTATTTTGTTTAATTTTGATGATTACAAATGACAACAAATGAAAATCTCAAATTCATCATATCAGAAAATTAGAATATTACTGAAGACCAATAAAAACAAAGGATTTATAGAAATGTTGGCCAACTGAAAAGTATGAACATGAAAAGTATGAGCATGTACAGCACTCAGTATTTAGTTGGGCCTCCTTTGGCCTGTATTACTGCAGCAATGCGGCGTGGCATGGAGTCGATCAGTCTGTGGCACTGCTCAGGTGTTATGATAGCCCAGGTTGCTCTAATAGTGGCTTTTAGCTCTTCTGAATTGTTGGGTCTGGTGTATTGCATCTTCTTCTTCACAATACCCCATAGATTTTCTATGGGGTTAAGGTCAGGAGAGTTTGCTGGCCAATTAAGAACAGGGATACCATGGTCCTTCAACCAGGTACTGGTAGCTTTGGCACTGTGTGCAGGTGCCAAGTCCTGTTGGAAAATGAAATCTGCATCTCCAAAAAGTTGGTCAGCTGCAGGAAGCATGAAGTGCTCTAAAACTTCCTGGTATGTGGCTGCGTTGACCCTGGACCTCAGAAAACACAATGGACCAACACCAGCAGATGACATGGCACCCCAAACCATCACTGACTGTGGAAACTTTACACTGGACTTCAAGCAACGTGGATGAAGTGCCTCTCTTCTTTTCCTCCAGACTCTGGGACCTTGATTTCCAAAGGAAATGCAAAATTTACTTTCATCAGAGAACATGACTTTGGACCACTCACCAGCAGTCCAGTCCTGTTTCTCTTTAGACGCTTCTGACGCTGTCTGTGGTTCAAGAGTGGCTTGACACAAGGAATGCGACAGCAGAAACCCATGTCTTTCATACGTCTGTGTGTGGTGGTTCTTGAAGCACTCACTCCAGCTGCAGTCCACTCTTTGTGAATCTCCCCCACATTTTTGAAGGGGTTTTGTTTCACAATCCTCTCCAGGGTGCGGTTATCTCTCTTGCTTGTACACTTTTTTCGACCACATCTTTTCCTTCCCTTCGCCTCTCTATTAATGTGCTTGGACACTGAGCTCTGTGAACAGCCAGCCTCTTTAGCGATGACCTTTTGTGTCTTGCCCTCCTTGTGCAAGGTGTCGATGGTCGTCTTTTGGACAACTGTCAAGTCAGCAGTCTTCCCCATGATTGTGTAGCCTATAGAACTAGACTGAAAGACCATTTAAAGGCTTTTGCAGGTGGTTTGAGTTAATTAGCTGATTAGAGTGTGGCACCAGGGGCCATCAATTTTGAACCTTTTCACAATATTCTAATTTTCTGATATGATGAATTTGAGATTTTCATTTGTTGTCATTTGTAATCATCAAAATTAAACAAAATAAACATCTGAAATATATGAGTTTGTATGTAATGTATGAATATAATATACAAGTTTCACTTTTTAAATGGAATTACTGAAATCAATCTACTTTTTCATGATATTCTAATTTTATGACCAGCACCTGTAGAAGTACCATAAGATCACGGAACAAGGAATAGTAGGTTCATCAGAAAGAGAGATGTCTACAAAAAGATGAATTCATAATTTTAACAATTCTGCAATAACTGTAGAGTTAAAATAATCTGTATATTGCAATTTGTCATGCTTGTTTAGTTCTACATTACTCCTTTTACCAAAATAAACCGCGGGAATTGAATTGTTTATGAGGAGTAAAAAGAGTCTGAGCAATTTGAATATTTCATGTTTTGAAATATTTGAAACTTGATCAAATCCAGAGCCAACTGACTCAAAACTATGAAATAGCCCTTTAGCAATCCTCCAACATGAAAACTGTGCTATTGCACTGATAACTCAGCATGTTCCAACTTGTATTGTTCTGTCCTGAAGTAAGATGAGTAACTGAGGAGATATAAAACATGAGGCCCACTGCAGTTTAATTGTTGTTGACCTCCAGCTTGAAAAAAAACCTGTTATATGCTGTTCTTTTGAAAGAGCCTATTGCCTTGTTGCCAACGTCAGTGCTTAAGGTGGTTGAAACTGAAAATATCTGGTGTTAAACACTGGCAAACCTGAGATATGAACATTTATGTTGCATGCGTGCAGTGAAGATATTAAATGTGCAAGCAGTAAAACGGTTTATTGCCTGGCTGTCTGCTGAGAGGGAGAAACGCACAGGATTGATTTTATGACCTGCGAGGACCCCAATGATCGACACTGGTATAGATGCAATTAACAAGAACAAACCACAAGACAGCAGCGTGACGAGATATCACTTATGAAAATATCAAAAATCAAGGTAAAGAAATGCACACGAGTATTTTCCTAATGTATGTTTAAAGGCAATAATATATTTTAATGCATCCTAGCTGAATATTTCACTCTGACTCTAAAATCAGGAACAGTATTGAACATAAAACACAGGAAACTCATTACATGTGTATCTCCAATGCTTCACCCCGGAAGCAACAGCCTTGAGCTGAATTGATCAGAACTTTCCCTACAGAGTCTTTTCCCCTGTTTGTTCTCACACATAGCAGCTATAGTGCTGTTGCACTGTTTCTTGTATATTTGCACAATGACCTTTACCTTTTTGCTCAAAGCTTTTTGTTCTCCTTACATTTATTGCTAGTGTTGCAATTTGGATGTGTTTGCTTTTTCATGAACGCAAAATGACCTTCCCTAATAAGAAGAGGCAAAGCATTACTCCTTTGTGAACCCCTTTCTCCACCAATGATTTATTGCTTCTCTATCTTTTCCCAGCAACCTCCCTTTTTTAATTCCATTCCCTTCATCCATATTTCCCTCCCTCTGTGTTTATGCTCATTTCTTCAGTCTCCACCCCTGTGTGCTTCATACCGTCTGTTTATTCTAGTCAAAACAAATTCCTTTCCTGGAATTCAATAAGCTGTTGAAATTATTTATTAACCAAACATGATTCGGATATCAATAAATCATTTTTTTTCAAATAGCGTTTTTAATGTTCAATTCCAAAATTGAAAGATCTAATTTCTTAACCGATACAACTAAAAACAAATTGAACATCATTTTGTTAAAAAGGCATTAAAGTAGCATCTAAATATTGATAGAATCCTAGGATTTAAAAATCCAAAGATCACTGTGACTGACACCCCTTGATTTTATTTACATTTTATCGTGTCACAACCACTCTGCACTATTCGCATGTTTACTGAATAAAACAATGAAAATATGTAATGAATGTAAAGTAAAAATAAAATGACATCTTTCCAAAGATTGTCTTATAAATCAAATCTAAAAAGTGTAGTCTGCATGTTTTCCACACTTATTTATTCTGTTACCACCAAACAAATAAAATCCAATGCAATCAATTTCCTTTAGTAGTCACACCATTAATAAATACAGCCCCCTTCTGTTTAATTTAATCTCAGAATACAGTGCCTGACAAAATGATTCATACCAGCTTTACATTTTTATAATTTGTCAGATTGCTGCCTAATAAACTATTAGTCATGTATACAGGAAATCTGGCTTTTATGACAGATTGAAAAAAAACACAGAAGTGGCTAATACTGAAACACACTTGTAGTTTGCAACAAGCCATGTAGAGGTCACAGCAAACAAGAAACTAATTAAAATATCCTTTTTTTTTAGATAGGAACGAAACCTTACTGTTTAACCTACATGTAAAACAAATATATGTAGAATAACAATAGCAATGGCCATAACAGTAAACATAGCATCCCTCAATAAAACACAGTAGTGGCACCATAATGCTGTGGGGTTGCCTTTTTTTTCTTTACTCTGACCGTCAAAATGGTCAGAATTGATGAAAAGGAGGAGAGAGTTAAATAAAAGACAATCCTGGAAAAACAACCAAAGAGATGTTAAAACCTGTAATAGACTAGAGACCAGGGTTTTTTACCTTCCACAGAAAGATAAAACTCTCAAAACACAGTTAGAGCTACTGCGTGATGTAAACTGAGGAGCTGTGGTACAGTAAGACATGAACGTTGATGTTCACAAATGCAACTGGGCAAAGAAAATCGAGCAATACATTTTTTTCTGGGTGTAGAAAGCTAGAAGAGACTTACAGTATAGTAAAAAACGGGGAGCTGTAAATGCAGCACAAGGCTATGAAGCGTTGACCTAGGCAAGCTTAGTTAAAATGCATGACTCACTTCTCAGAATTGTATTTATGAGTAATGTCGTTAACAATGGAATATTTCCCTATTACTTCACTGATATGTGTTTTAGTACTTGACTATATTCTATCCCTTTTTTCTGTATTTCCTGACCTTTCATATAGAAGTTAGATAGAATGAATTGTTTGAATATCAGGATAATATCAGCTGCCACAGTCACTAGACAGACTTCAATAGATACTCTTTAAACCTGGAAAACAGATGATCAAAGCTGTTTCAAATTATTCAAAAGCTGAAGCAAGTTTTGTTTGTTTAAAAGTTTTGCTCTGTAATGTTATATCTTTTAAGGAGGTACAACATCAGCTTCCTGAATGGTTACTATCGACCTGATGGCACAGATGATCATCCGTTCATCTGCTCAATGGAGAGGGAAAATGGGATGCTTCGGTGCTCTGATGTGCCTCGTCGTCGTGTGGGCCGGACCTACTGCTCTCTGAGTGCGGAAGATGCCCATTCTGAGACGGGACTCACTGTAGATGGGCCAGTGTCGTGTGTGAATTGGTACCAGTACTACAACGAGTGCCGAGCTGGGGAAATAAACCCGCATAAAGGAGCTATTAACTTTGATAATATCGGATATGCATGGATTGCTATATTTCAGGTAAAATATTTGTAGAATTAATTTACAGAACTGAATAGTTGATACTTATTATCATTAACTGCCTCCCACTGTGGTTATTTTTGAATTATTTTATTCAGGTTATTACCCTGGAGGGTTGGGTAGATATCATGTACTACGTCATGGATGCACACTCATTCTACAACTTCATTTACTTCATCTTTCTCATCATTGTAAGTACTCCAAAAAAAAAAAACCCACAGATTTATCCCAAAATGTTAAACTTATCTGAAACTGTTGTTTGCACTGTTTGGTAGGTGGGTTCCTTCTTTATGATCAATCTGTGCCTGGTCGTCATTGCCACCCAGTTTTCTGAAACTAAGCAGAGAGAACATGCCTTAATGAAATCAGAGGAGCGAGCCCGGCAGCTCCACCAATCAGCTTCCACGCTGGCAAGCGACAGTCAGCCCGGGAGCTGCTACGAGGAGATCATCCGATATCTGGCCCACTTGGGTCGTAAAGCATGGCGACGGCTCTGCCGCTGGATTGCTCTCTCCCGTTCGCATCTCCGCTGCACATGCATCTGCCGGAAAGGAAGCGGGCCAGCTCGAGGGGGCGGAGCAGGGGAAATGAACGGACTTGCCAACCGGCACTCTGGTCACGCCCCCAATGACTTACTACACCTTCATCAAGTTTATCATCTGCACCACCAGCAGCATCACTATCCACAGCAGCAGCATCAGCCTCAATCTGCGCTGGCCGTCAGTAATGGAGGAAACGGGTTCAATTATCCCTTCATATCACCGCTCCTCAGTCACCTGGATGATAAGGACCAGGACCAGAAGAGGGTGGTTGCCATGGAGACCATTAACAGACTGCCACAGCTGGTGCTGGAGCACAGTAAGTGGCTTGAGTGTTTAATTATTTGTGTGAGTTTTTGAAAGTGTTTTTTTTTTTCTATTTTATTTAACACAACTTAGAATAGAAAATCCCTTTATTGTCCCACAATGGCGAAACTGGTGTTTTAAAGCTGCAAAAATATTATTAAAAAAATGGTCCCACAAATATGGGCTTTAGAAAAGTGTATAAGAATAACATTAGTGAAGAGTTAAAAATATAAACAAATAAAATACTCTCCTGTACAGTGTTTTAACAATATAAATACCTGGATAATATATAACCAATATACAGCTATGGACATTCTTACAGTAATGGAAATTTGAAAATAGCAAAAACATCAGAGATGTGCAAAATGACAGCAGCATGGTATTTAACTGACTAAGGTAGAAACTGTGTAAAATCAGGATTAATGGGTAGCATAGCATAGCATGCGATCAATCCTGTTAGCATTGTCTTTACTCATCAGTAAACACATGAAATGATGATGATCATCAAAAGACATATTGTTTGTTCTGTCCCTAATTATGCCAGACCTGCAAACCTTTTTGTCCATGTCCATTGGAAGGCTTGAGTTTCAACCAGCTGCAATTCAGCAGTCAGGACAGCAACAGCCAGGGGTTTCTTTGTCTCAGTCTCACAGCAGGGGTCCTCTTTGTCTCAGTGGCTCATCAAGGCAGGCTTTCTCGTCCAGTCTGTGCAATATTCTGTGCAATATGCTGAATGTGCAATATATGTGAATAGAATAGTCATACTACTACCTCACCGTTGTTCCTCACCTACTACACTTTAGCGTTAAAGTAAATCCACCTGTACATAAGCCATCCGGATTGTACATATTTTTATTTTTTATTTCTTATTTTTATTTTGTTTTTTCATTGTGTGCAATACATGTACACTTGCACCTTAATCCTGATTTATCTTGATATATTTTATATACCTGGATATACTGTCTGGCTCTATAAGTTCTGAAACTCAGGAGAAATGGGGTCTGTTTTGCAGCAGTTTGGTTCTGAAAGGTCAGTTTCCTTGATGATTCTGGAGATCTGGGTCACCTTGGGCCCGCATCTCACTGTAGTGGAGAACCAGCCAAAGTGGATCCCAGCTTCATGGGGAAGGGAGAGGAGGCAAAGACAAGGAATCTGGTTTTCTCTGTGATTTTCCCTGTCCTCACAGAGAGGGAGGTGGTTGGTCACACCTCTCTGGGAGTTCCTGTGACTAGAAAAGGGGGGGGGGGGGGGGGGGGGGGGGGCAGAGGTCTTCTAGCATCTTGTTAACCAAATTTGCGTTCTCTCCTCTGGTCATCATGTCAAGGTGAAATATGGACACTGGTTCCAAATGTCCAAAAAGCATGATCATGGCATATCGCACAACAAGGGTAACAACTTATTGAGGTTGTTGGGAACAGTGATGGTTATAGATCTTACAGCTGCTGGGATGAAGGATCTGTGATAACGTTTCCTGGTGCATTAAGGGTGCAACAGTCTGACACTGAAGGAGCTCTCCATTTTTGCAATAGGCTTCAAGCATGGAGTGGTAAACGTTATCCAACAGACATGTTAATTTAGTTAGGGTCCTCTTGTTTCCCTCTGTTGTGATTGGAGTCCAGATGGCATCCAATCACAGAGCTTGCCTTCCTGATCAGCTTATCCAGTTGCTTTCTCTTAGCTACAGATAAGCCGCTGCTCCAAAAGATAACTCCATAGAAGATGGCTGATGCCACAGCAGAGTCATAGAAGGTCTTTAGGAGCACCCACTACACTCAAAAACACCTCAGTCTCCTCAGCAGGAAGAGTCTGTTCTGACCTTTCTTATACAGAGCCTTAGTGTTGTGAGTCCAGTCCAGTTTGTTATTCAGATGAACACCTAGCTACTTATTAGAGTCCAATATCTCAATGTCCTTTCCCTGGATGTTCACCGGTGTCAGGGACGTGGATCTGCTTCTGCCAAAGTCTGCCACTAGCTCCTTGGTTTTCCCTGCATTAACCAGAAGGTGGTTCTGCTGGCACCAGACCACGAAGTTCTTCGTGGTGCTTGAACTTTTATGTGCATTTATTTTTCTTTTATTTTAAATATATTTTAACAAACATTATTATTATTACTTTATGGGCACTGATTCATATTTTCTGTGCCAATTGTTTTGTTTCTGTTAGAATTCGGGTTGCATGGTATCAGATGGTTAGCACAGGTGTCCCATAGACAGAAGGCCCCGAGTTAAAGTCTCAGTCTTTTTTTGTGGATTTTTTATTTCTTCCTTGCAAAATAGATTACATTTTCCAGGTAACCAGGTAGGCTTGTCCCAGTGTAAGGTTAGAAAATCACTGTGTGATAAGCCCTCGTTACAATATTTTCACAGTATAAGAATACTTTCCCAAACAACTTAAAGTAAAAATGTGTAAGTCTATTCATCTTTTATTTACCAAAAAAAGCAAGGTACACCCCTGTCCTCTGTGATATCATCTAACACTGGTAAGATCTCAATGCCTCCAAAGGCCAGACAAAAAATATTGTTTTAACAGTGTGTTCTGGGTATTCTAGGTATCATCATCTCCTAGTGACTCATGCTCCAAAAGGGGGACCCAGGAAACCTCCTTATTAGATGCCTTAACTACCTCAATGGGCTTTATGCCCAACCTCACTACTTCCTGAACTTACGTCAGCTGTGTTTTCTGAACTGTCTTTCTTTACTGGAGAGACTGATTAATCCATGTGTGTCTGGCCAGTGTCATCATGGTTACTGAGGTCAAACACACCTGAATTGATCAGTCTAACAAGGGAGGAAAGACAGGGAACAAAGAAGCTGGCTGAAGTTCAAAAAGTAGTGGAGTTGGGCAAAAAGCAATTGATTCAATGCAGAGGAACAGTGGCTTAACTTCTGCTCCCACCAAATAGCAAGCTTCTTTCCGTATCTTTGTGGCTGAGTCCAACCACCTTACGGAGGAAGTCCACACACATGCTGCTGTCTCATTCAAAGGGTACTTTTAATATACATGAGAGTTTTCCACATTAGGGCTGTAAGTAATGATATTTTTGCTAATCGATTAATCTGGATAAATTTTTCGATTAATCAATTAATAATCGGTTAGTGAAAGCTTGCTTAAAAATGTTTAAAATTTTCCACATGAGGAGTTATGGATTGAGCATATATTGATGGAGAAAAAAGTTTTTCATCTTAAAGGTATGTTTTAGAGTCTCTATACTCCATTTAACAAATTATTAAACCACTAAATTAGTTGACGATATTTCAATAAACAATTTATCATAATTAATCCAATTAATTGTTTCACCCCTGGTCCACATGATATTTTTCGAATATTCAACCCATATCAAACTCTATCAGGTGTGTCTAATGTCATTCTTAAGGTTTAGAGGGCATCAATTGTGTCTGCTGACATAAACAAACAGTTTTAACAAACTGATGGATTGTTGACTCATTAAGCTATAACTTTCAGATATTTTCAGGCTGTAATGCCCACATGTTCAGTACGTATGCCTTTCTTGTCAACCTGAAAATACTATATTTGAATGAGAGTCAAGGGTAAGATCTGTGACAAAGCACTCATCTGTCATCAATGGTTTAAAAATAATAGTACAGGAGAATGCAAAACACAATTTATACACAGTTGTATAGCAAGCATAGCGGTGATTTTGGATATTGGAATTTACCCAGGGCTGCATTTGAAAGGAGGGAAACTCATCTGTTGCTCACCATTTAACTAGTTGTCTTTTGTTTTTCTGAAGTATGCAGTGAGTGTTTCGTAAGTGTGTGTGAGTGTTTGCTGTCATCAAGAAGTGCCAACTGTTTTAGTAACAGTAGGGGTCAGGCTATATGTATTCTGTTCTGGCTTCTTTTTCAATAGCTGGAGTGACATGGTAAAATCTTTATCTATCTAAACTGGGGGCAATTTCGTCTCCACAAATTGGCAGAGCTTTTATGTAAGTCTGTATTGTAAAAGCAGCCATTTAGGGCTGGAAATAGTAGTCAGTCTCTCTAAATAATACTCAGTCTTCCACTACCCCACCTAAGACACTTATGAAAGAACCGAGACTACTCATGCCTCTATGGTTCTGAGATTCTGTGTGCATGTGCACACAATGTTGTGGTTTCACCAGACAGGCTTGTGCAATTTAAAAGAGAAAAAGGGTTTATCATTTGCCTATTTGTTGTAGACATATACCTTAAAGGAATGATGCATGCCCATTTTTCTCCTGATTAGAAACAATATCTAAGAGTCGCTCTTACCAAAAAGAGCTCATCCTCTCCAATGATGCATAAAGCTAACATAATGCTCACTTGAGATAATAAGCTGATCAGATTTTACCCTCAACAGAGTGATCTCAATTTTACTCTTGTTAGAGTTGTGATGCTGAAAGCCTGATGTACTGCTTGGTTTGTCACAGAAACCCTTCTGGGAAATCACTCTGTGTTTGGAAAGGGGCCATGCACTTCGCTGAGAGGACTAAGACTGAACCATCTTTTTGTCTGTAACCATCCATCACGAGCTAACTAAAGCCAATTGGATCAGAACATCTTCCAGAACTGATGTTTAATCAACCTCTCTCCAAATTTCATCAGGATAAAAGAACAAAAAAAAACTATTTGATGAAAAAAGATTTTGTTTTACTTAAAATAAAAAAAAGTTCTTTCTGTAATGTCATTGACATAAAAGCTTTGTGTCTTTAGGAAATGTCCTTGTTGAATTTTCTTTCAATTAAAACCTGCCTGAAGCTGCTAGTTTGGGACACTGCTTTATCTCCTCTGCCTTTACCACAGTGAAGTCCCTGGAGATCTTGAAAGATGAATTTTTTCACGGTCATGATCCCTTGATTTCTGTGAAAACCCAGCAATGTTGAAGGATATTAAAACAGATCCTCAGCCTCCTTGGGGTAGAAAATTTTGCAATGTATTGAGAGGGCAAGTAGAATGCATTAACCCCCTGGTTTATAAAAATATTCTTCCAGTTATTCTCAAAGCAGCAAGGATGTATTTTTTCTGTACGATG